TTCTTCTGTTCCCCACCCCTCGACTTTCTTCCACTTTGATGAACCTCCCCTCTGTGAAGCCCGAAATCAATTAAAGGACTAATGATAGCTATCAAAACACCTGCCATTTGAAATAAATATTAAGTAGCCAGAATTCTCAATGAGTCCTGTTACAGTTTATAAGTCTAAAGCTTGACGTTTCAAAACGTCGCAACGATTTCTTCAATATCTGTACGCATATTGTGCTTGTCGAATTAAGGCAACGTCATGTACGAGATTTCAACTTATTTAAAAATATCTGATCTCTTTAATATTTGGGTTATAAGGTTTATAATCCAATAATATATACTTAGGAAAGAAAAATAAACTTATAAACAGTTGAAATAAGATCAAATGCAATCACTCATATTTTTGAGTTTCCTTTTCCCCAATTTTTCTCATTTACTTCTTATTTGACAATTCAAACATTCCTCGATGATACTCTTTCATTTTATTAAAATTTTTCAGTTTGATTTTAAGATGGTTTAGAACCGTTCGTTCCTTATTAACTGCGTTGATTTTAAACTTTCGTATTACTGCGTACTTATATATTATATCACTTTGTTCAGAGCCAATTACTGAAATCTGCCTAAAAAATCTATTTAAATTATTAATAAACGCTGTTAATGTTGTTTGAAATTAACAAAATTTTCATTGAAAACAAGAAACATATTTAGTCTTTTATATATATATATATATATATATATATATATAGCCACTTCAAATATGAATTGATGACTCAACTTAATGATGTATTTTTTCGTATTTAGGAATCCTCAGACAATGAAACCGTGGTCATTAGACCTCAAAAGGAAAGTTCTCAACCCGGAGAACTACTGTTCCTCAATCAAAAATATGAAATAAACAATCACGGCAAGGCAAGTTCGTCATTGCTTAAATTAAGCCCGCCCTCATTTTGTAGCTATACTTCAAGGCCACCTTTTTAGCCAAGAATTTCCGAACCCAAGACATTCGCATTCGTATTGACTATGATAAATTGACCATCAGAGCACAATGCTCAGCAACGAAGAATAAAGACTCGTCGCGTGACTGCATTGAAAAATCAATACCTCTGGCTGTTCCACTCAGCAAATCTCACATCAAAGCTACACATATGACTGTAAGTTGGGGGACTTTGAAGTGAAGTATCCTTTGTTAGGATGAAAGATTAGTGGTTGTGGCACCTGTAGCAAAGGCCATCCACAAAGAGGTCCCAATTGTTGCTCGATGCGGATTCGACATAGGAAAGTTCGCTATCGATTTTAATGCACAAGAAGAAGTGGATGGAATCAGAGTTGTGAACAAAGAGATGAAATGCTTTCTCCTGTTGCGATTAACACTGGAACCACCCTTCACTGTGTCTTCCACTGTTGCATGTATTGGAATTCGCCTCTGGTGTGCTGCTGGAAATCGGCTGTGTATTAGTGGTGAGGCCAACTGGTCACCCTCAACTCGAACAATAATGGATTCACCATTTGAGGAGCATCGGAGTTTCCGACGTGTCTTTGTTGCCCCTGGACTAATTGATGTGAGCTATGCTAAAGCGGAGGTAATCGATGGGAAATATCTCATCTTTGAAGCACCACTAATTCAATAATTTGAAAAAACCCTCAGATTATGTTGAATGTTGTTTACTTCTCGAAAATTGAGCTTAAGTATAGCAAATTCATTTTTATAATTCCATGTTTTGTCCATTTTAAATATATTATCAGTAAGGGCTCATTTGAATTTAAAGAAAGTATACTTAAAATTTTAAACTATTAAATAAACGAAACATTATATGATGCCATTTTGTTTTTATTTTTGAGAGACTAAAAAATAGTAATAGTTACCTTGGTTTTGCTTCATGGTCTGCGCAAATTTAAATTAAATCAGCCAACATAATTTAATGCGATTAATACAAATTTGTGCAGTATTTCGACGCTGCTCTGGTTTACACCTCCGCTTATGACTTAATAGCATGAAATCAAGGAGTGAAGATGTTGCCCAAAATTGCTAGTGATAATCAGATTAAAGTATTCGAAAGGCCCAGTATTCAGGAGTTGATTTGCCCATTGTTGCACGTCTAATATCAGGTATGAAGATTGTCACAACGGGATAATTGAAGTAGACTGGACTTGCAGTGTCCTCGCGTAGCAAGCAGATCGGTATGGGAACTACATTAGACAAACGAAGAGGTAGAAACTAAGGAATACGTAGCCCCAAGCCCGTACTAATCTAGACGGAGGCAAGCATTTCAAAAGATGCTCACTTCCCCCGTTTCCCATTAATGCTTTTTGATTGGATCTCGAATATACTTCGTGAAGAACAAGTATCCAGACCTCGCACTCTACACAAGAAAAATTAAACCAATTCAAAGTTCTGTGATTCTAATGGTGGAGTTACTTTTAAATACTCAAGTTATTGGTCATTTCGTGAAAAAATACCTCGAAAAGCACTGATTTAACTTATTGTAGCAAAGCGTGGTAGGGGTGTGGACAATAAATAATCAATAACGCTCAGAGGAAAAGATCTAAATAAAGCGCAATTTTCAACGAATATTAAAACAAATTTGCTCATTAAAGGAGAATAGACGTTAAGACGACGAATTAGGATAAGAGGAAGCAACACTTGCTCGCTTGAATATGCAATATTAGCAGAAAGACAAAAGTCCCAAGAATATGGTATCCCAACCGAAGCTAGGTATCAAGCAAGAGAGGTAAATTTTGCAATAATTCCAATTCAGAGGTGGCACAGTTTCGGAGTAATTTATTGATTCATTTCAAATGGCAGACGTTTTGGTAGCTATAATTAGCTATTTAGCTGACTTCGGGCTTCACAGAGGGAAAGTTCATCAAAGTAGAAGAAAGTCGAGGAGTGGAGAACAGAAGAGCGATTCACAGATGTAAAAGAGGCAGACAGACACAAAGGTAGAGAAAAAGGTAAGATGAGTACTGTTGAATGGGTCGAATA